TTCAGTTTTTCAGTTTAAAATTGTTTCCTTCAATATTTTTTTTGTTCCACATTTTTGGTATGTTATGTGCTGCTGAAGCAAGCACTCATTCAGCATTTCTGAGAGTCTTTCTTGTTCCAGGCATCAGAGATAAGATGATAAACAAGATAGAGAAGGTCCTTTTCTCATGGTGCCTCCAATATAGTGGGGGAATGATTCTTCTTAGTTATGGGGTGAATTATTGATAATGATCTTTGCAACCTTCTCAAGATAAAAAGTATCAGAACGGGGAAGAGATTAGATGATTTCTAGAAATGGACCTGAATAAGGACCACTGCAGTGTGTCATCTGGAAAGTAGCCAGCTGACCTAGCATCTCAATTTTCTTGCAGTTTCGCCGACATGAGGTAACCATCTGCAATTATGAAGCATCGGCCAACCCAGCAGACCACAAGGTCCATCAGGTTACCCCACAGACACACTTCATTTCCTAGGGGCTGGCCAAGGCTCCCACAGAGGCCCTGTGTCAGTGAAGGTGTGTGACAGCCTATTGGGAAGGACAAAGATGGGGCTCCAGAGAGAGTTGACTGCCACAGCCTCTGCCAAGCTTTGTCCTTGGGGCTTCCTGCAGAAACCTGGCCTGTGGAAGACACCACACCACCGGGAGGGTTGTGTGGGTGCCAGGGGACAATCATGGTTCTCTAGGGCCCCGTAGAAATGGGGTCTTGGTTTGGTCAGTATCTGGCAGTCATGGATAATGCCTGCCTTTCCAGTCAGTGTGGCCATGGGATTTCAAGTGTCTTACTTTGTGGCAGGATTTTTTGTGTGGCTTTTTTTTTTTTTTAATGGCAACTATTCCTGGGTTGCAGTAAACTTTCTGAAGCCTCAGCATTGTGTTCGTATTAGCCATCAGGAAGGTCTCCAACTAGAAATACCTGTCCCTGCTTGCTCCTTCTCCCTGTCATCATTTAGCATTCTTGTCAAGTTGCTCAGCTTGGAGTTGTCTGTCATGCACTAGTGTGCCATGGTTATAGCTGGAAGAGCAGGCCTCTCCTGAGGATGCTTAATTAATAGCTTGAGGAGAAGGTCTTCTTTCCTACTGCCGAGGTAAGCAGTCTGGGGAGAGCATGGGCATCGCATTTCTATGTTTGTGGGTATCTGGTCCAGGTAAGAGTGGGCCTTAGGTAAGATTCCCTTTGGGACATCCTCATTGTTTATTAGCTTCTAGCTAGTGTTGTAAGGCAAGTGCCAGAATTTGGAGATCTCAGTTCTTGTCATGGCTTTTTATTCACTGTGACTAATAAGCTTCCTAATAAATCCGTGCCAAACTTGTTTGTGTATTCTTCTGAGTTCTTGGTAGTACTGATGAAACGTTTACTTTATTGGGAACTGTATATAACTTTGAAGTTTGTTGTTTTGGACCAAGTAGATATAAATGCTAGTTATATTAAGACTAGATCAGTTTTTCCAGGAAAGGTCGAGCTTAATTTTGTACAGTAAACTAAAAACACTCCTGTACCCACCGACCCACTCAACATTTTGTAAAGAGGGAGGTGAGGTTAAAAACCTATATTCCATTTCTCGTGAAAGAAAGAAAATAGTGTAAATGAGGGAGAACAGCTTCTGGAGTTCAGAATGAGGGCGAGGAAAGTAAGTGAGCAGCACCTGCAGTCCAAGGCGGACCCAAGACTGTGGACTTAAATTTTGACTCAGGAGAGACTTGCAATTGGAGAGAATTGAAGTTATCGACAAAGAGGATTTCAAATGGTCAGTATTCTCTCCCTTGCAGAAAACAGAAACAATTGACCATGGGAATTAGTATTGAATCTGATCCTCCTAGAGAATTCCTCTATGGCAGGGTTAGAGAACCTTTTTTCTGCCAAGGGCTATTTGGATATTGATAACATCATTGTGGGCCAAAGTTATCAACTTAAAAATTAGCCTGCTATATTGGGTCAAACAACTCACCCCTAATGCCTTGGAAGGGCCAGACCAAATGATTGCTCAGGCCTTATATGGCCCGGAGGCCAGACATTCCCCACCCCTGCTCTAGGGCTTTGGCCCACAGGATTAGGAGGATATACCCACTGTTTACCCAGGCTATCCTATGTAAAGCCTGCCACCACTAAGCTTTGTCGAGCCTCATTTCTAAAATACCGTCTGAAACCAACCAGAAGCAAATGCAATTATTGATGCACTAAGGGTCCTACTCAGTTGTATCATTTTGGAGATAAAGGACCGTTTTAATTTGGAGTTGGGAGAAACATGCGAAGTCTTAGAATAGCCCTTCATTAATTCCACTAATTAAAGCACTAATCACAGGTAGCCTCTGGGACTTGGCCTCTGAATTTGAGACTTGACTCTGAAGAGTTTGCTCAAAGTGCCACAGTGTCTGATTGGGAGTGCGGAAGGAATTGTTCGTTCTTTCATAACATCCAGTAGGGGTTCTGTTGAGAGGGAGTAGCTGTGTAGTCTTCATCCACTCACCCCCTTTCTGGTCCTGGGTCCTTGGCTTGCTGTGGTCCTCTGGACCTGAAGCTTCCCTGCTCGGGGGAATCATGGTATTTTAGGTTGTCTCTGCGACCTGTTGAGCACTTAAGACCAAACTGCCTCGTACCCTGGGAGAAAATGCTTGGTTGAGCTTCCAAGTTGACTTTCGTTTTTTTCAGTTCAAAGAAAAAACAGTGTAGGTTTTGCTGAAGGAATGAGTCCTAAGCTGCTGAAGGAGGAGCACCACTCATTTCTTGTTTACAGGTGGCCACATGTTCTCTCAGGGACACGGCCCTTCAACTCAGTCCGCGTCCCTTCCGGCTTTTCTGTGGACCCTGATCCCCATTTCCACTTTACCAGCGTGGCAAGGAGCAAAGGGTGACTCGCTGGTACCCACACGAAGCCCTTTCTGTTCTTAACTGGAGCTCAGTGATGGTGGTATTCTGTGCACTCTGCAGGGCATCGCTTTCCCCGGGCAGAGCTAAGGCAACACTGCCGAGGCCTGCCCAGCCGTCCTGCTATGACCTGTGTTATTTTCCCAGGGTCGTTTGTAGAGTCATTAAGGCCTCCCACGGACTATAATGTATTAAGCATTTCTCATTTGAGCCTACCAGCGAAGCTGTGAAGTAGGCAGGGTGGTTATTATCACCATTTTATAGCCAGAAAGCAAGTGCAGAGTGTCATCCTGAGATTGCTGTTTACTTCCCCTCCCTGGGCCTCAGCTTCCTCATTTTAAAAACAAGACTGGAGGACCAGAAGGCCTCTGAGGATCTTTAAGGATGCCGCCCCTGATCCTGGGCTGGGGCATGAAAGCTTGTGGTGGATACGCAAGACCCTCCTGACCCTCCTGACGGTGGGCCGGGCGCGGGGCGGGGAACGCCTCCCCTTCCTCCGGGGGCGCCCGGGTGGCGGCAGCCACGGTGCCTCGATGCACGGTCTGCATTCTTCGGGTGTCGGCGGGCTGAGTGACGGGGCGTGGCCCCAGGTACCCAGAGGGGCGCCCCCTTTGTGGGAGAGCCCCCGCCGCCCTTTTTCGGGTTTCCGACACCCCTGGGC